AGGGAGAAGGGGAATGGAAGAGAGAAAGGAGGAAGAGAGAGAGAGAGAGGGGGGGGGGGGGGAGAAAGAGAGAGAGAGAGAGGGATATATATAGAGAGAGGGAGAGAGAGAGAGAGAGAAAGGGAGATAGATAGATAGATAGATAGAGAGAGAGGGAGATAGATAGATAGAGAGAGAGAGAGATAACACCTGCGACTAATACCATAGTACACTGACAAGAATTCTTATCCTGTATGCTCTAATGGTAAATCAGAACGTTATAAATCTCTCATTAAAGAGGATTTACATTATATTATATTATGCTTTAGCTTATGAGTCATGGAGAATTCAGAGAAAGATACGTAAACACTAATGCACACACACACACACGCACGCGCACACACACACACACACACACACACACACACACACACACACACACACACACACACACACACACACACTACCAAAACACATACATATACATACACACACACAACCCTCCCTTCCCCCTTCCTTCCCCCTCCCCCCTCTAAAAAAAGGAAAACAGAGCGATTCAATTAGTCAGCAATAGAGAGAGGGAAGGGCAGAAAAAGAGAACGAATTGCAAGCCGCTTCCTCACACACGGAGTGCCACAAGAACACAATGGACACGGGGCGGAAGTGCACTCGAAGCTGGCACTGTATAGAGACATGTGGCGCCTGAATTGTTACGCACTACCTGTTTCCTCTACAATGTTCCTTCGTCTGGATTTTTGTGTGTTTTTTGGGTTTTGTTTTTGTTTTCTTGTTTTGAAAGGGTCATCAGGGGGGGGGGGGTAGGTTGAAATGTTTTTTTTTTTTTTTTTTTTTTTTTTTTTTTGTTATCGAGGTTGAGAGATAGTAGAAATAGGTCTTTGTTATTTAAGATTTTGTTTTGTTTTTACTTTTTGTTTGTATGTGTGTGGATCCGTTTCTTGGTTTGTATTGGATTTGCTGTTATTGTGTTTTTGTTTTGTTTTTGTGTGTCTGTGTTCGAGAATGAGGGATGTAGATCGGTCTTTCTTGTTTCTTTTTTGTTCATATGTATTCGTTCCTCATGCAATATTATCATTCTCATTACCATCGTATTATATCTATTTCCTGCTTTCTTCGATTATGCATTTGGTATATTTACTAGTCTGTTCAAAATTCACGCGTGCTCACATGCGCGCACGAATTGTGTGTCTGTATGTGCGTGCGTGTGCTCATATGCATGTTATGTTGAACATGTACGTACGTATCTGTGTGTTCGCGTGTGCATGTTAAGTTAAAAATGTACAAACATGATTCTTGAATTACTGGATTTGTGCAGAAGTCTACGGATAAATCACATGAAATATCAATACTGTATTTTTTATTTCTCGCTCTCTATGCATCTGATCTATCGTAATATTTCTCTTCCTTCCTCCCTCCATCCCTCGTCCTCCATTCTTTCTTCCTCTCTCTTTCCTCCCCTATTTTACATTGCCTTCTTCCCTTTCTTTCTCCTCCCCGTTCCCCTTCTTCTTTCCTTCCTCTCTCTCTCTCTTCCAAATCTCCATTCCCTCCTCCCTCTCCCACTTTCCCTTCCTCCCTCCCTTCTTTTTTCCTCTCTCCTCCCTTTCCTATTCCCCTTTCTCTTTCTTTCTCCTTCCCTTCTTTCATTCCTCTCTCCCATTTTTTTTATAAATCTCTACTCTCTCCTTCCTTCCCTTTTTCCCCTCTTCCCTCCTTTCTTTCTTCCTCTCTCGCCTTACTTCTCTATTCCCCATTACCTCCTTCCTATTTTTTCTCCTCCCCTTCTCCATTTTTCCTTCCTCTCTCAATCCTTTCTAAACCCCTCACTCCCTCCCCCCCTCCCTCTCCTCCTCCTCCTCCTCCCCCCACTTACTCCTCCTCCTCCTCCTCCTCCCCCTCCCCCCACTTACTCCTCCTCTTCCTCCTCCTCCTCCTTTTCCTCCTCCTCCTCCTCCTCCCCCACTTACTCCTCCTCCTCCTCCTCCCCCTCCCCCCCACTTACTCCTCCTCTTCCTCCTCCTCCTCCTCTTCCTCCTCCTCCTCCTCCCCCACTTCCTCCTCCTCCTCCTCCTCTCCCTCCTCCTCCTCCTCCTCCTCCTCCTCCTCCTCCTCCTCCTCCTTCTCTTTCAAAGCCAAAAGAAAAGTATTACTGCACCAAGCCCTTTGCAGGAGAATGTTGACAATTGCGTTTAGGAACAAGGAATGTGATAGCAATCGAGAAAATGTTGACTTGCATGTTATCGGAATCTCTTGGTCTCCATTATTCAACTCTTGTGTGTTATGCCATAGAACGGATAACTCCAAACTGTTTATAATGGTAATGCATACAGCCATTACTGCATGCTGGGTTGACATGTGCTTTTTAGAAAGCTCGGGGATTTCGCAATATATGTACGGTGGCATCAGAAATGTACGCGAAGGGGAGACTGTTTCACTGGGGAAGTCTTGTTGATATTGTAATTATTTTCATTACTTTCATCCCCGTCTTTTCGAAAAATACTTT